AAAAATAAGTCTAAAATAATAAAGTAGAATAACTAAAATCTTTGTATTTTTTTACAAAATAGATACTAATTTTGCTTGCATGGCTTTTATTCAATATGTGTCTTAAAGCGATTCTTTATAAGAGATTAACTTGTCTTTTTTTTAATAATTTTAATAAAGAAATTTTCTTGATCTATGCAAATATAATCATTATAGGTTATAAATGCCAAACAAAGTCTATTGCATTTGCAAAGGACTTGTTAAAGAAGAGTGTTACTTATACAATACTACATAAAGATTTTATTGCAAGTTGTTTGACAATTATTATATTTGGTGATTGTCATTGTTGCTTGATAATAAAAGAGTTTAAAATGCTAGTGGTTGCTCATATGGTTCAAAAGTTGAGATAGAATTATGTGAAGATAGGACTATTGATAGATTTGGAGTAGTAATCTAATGTAGATCACTTGCAACAATTTGATCATCAATGAATGTTTTAATAGATAGGTATAGATTAAACTCTAAAGTACTATTAATATTAAGATTTAGATAGCTAGTTTTAAAATCTTATTCTAAAAAAAGATATCTCTTAAAATAATAAACTTATAAATTTAGAAATTATAAAATTAAAATATTTTAATCTTGTCATCTTTGCTTAGAAAGATGCAATATTGCAAGTAATTGTTAAGTTTGTCTTTTCTAGATTTAATTTCATATACATATAAAATGGAACTAAAAACATGTAATTGAAATAAGTATTATTTTTATTTTTCTAAATTTTACTATATGTATTATTAAGATTGGACTTTATAGATCAAATATTTAATAGTATATTGGCAACTCAAATCGCCTTTGTTCAAAAAATGCCAAATAGATTGTAGTCCAAAAAAAGACAAAAAGTAGTATCTTATTGATATTAATTTTGACATTTTGCAAGACTATTAGATTACAACATATACGATTGTGAAAGCTATTGTAAGATGTGTTAATTCAATTAGTAAATGTTAAATTTTTGTGATGTAAACTTGTTACTATTATCAGATCATAAGTACAAGAATTTTGGTCATTTTTTTTTTTTTTTTTTTTTTTTTGACATCTTGATCAAATTATCTAATTTTTTTGAATTTTTTGTATTTTTCAAAAAAATATTAGATAAATTTCTTATGTGAATAATCATCTATAAAAGTAAAAAAAATAACAAAATCTTTTAAAGGATTTTATTCTAAATAGACCATTGAGATTAATATGAATTAATTCTAAGATTTTGGTGGTTTTTATGGTGCCTTTTTTTTAGAATTTAGCCTTAGCTCTAGTTATCATTAAGGTAGATTTTATATGGTACATTACTAATTGTAATGAATAAAAGCAAAGTGATTGTAAGTAAGTCAATTATTTGGCAAATGACTTGTAAATAAAAGCAATCTAATCTCTTATGCTAAAGCATGATTTTGCTAATATGATCACACATAGTTACTAAGTTTACTTCACATAATCCTAATTCTATATAATTTGTGATAGTCTTTTTTTAGAGTCTATATAAACCATTATTTGCATTTCTTTTGGCTATGACTATTATCTTTTTAATATTGTTGCAAATTATACACATGTTACTTTTGAATTTTAGGTGTAGATTTTTTTCTAATAAGTAATCTACTAAGAAAAGATTTTTGTAGATACTATGCAAATAAAGGACATGATCAATTATTTAGATTATATGTGAAGAAAGACAAATGGCAACATTTTCTATACTTTTTATATTATAGCTTTGTTCACCATCACTTGTAATCTTTGTGCTACTACTAAGTTTCAAAGAAGCAATACACTCAAATCTCCAAAGACATGATATGATGTTCTAACTCTAAGTATCAAGAGACAATACGATTTGGCTTTTTTATGTCATATTCACTTTTACAAACAAATATCTATAATTTATAAGATAGATAAATTTTCTTCACTTATCTCATTATCATGCCAATTACCAAAATCATGATAATTATCCTCATTTAATTCCTTTGCATTATTGGCGTGGCTATTATTTTATGTAATGCTTAAGTCTTGCATCTTAGTTTCTATTTCATTGAAACAATGTATCATTTATTTGATGCCATCTTCAAGTATAAAAGATCTATATTGTTGACATGAACTTCTACCTTAAGAATGACTTTATATTGATCCTTTCTTATTAGCTCCAAAGTAATCAAAGTGATCATGATCACTATTGTAACTTTGTCCATATGTTGATCTTTCTAAGTACTAATTTCTATAATTTAGTCTTTTTAAGTATAAATTTCCATATCTATATATAAAGTTGCAATGATACGTGTTTTGGTGGTAGCCAAATTAACCACCTTGATTTACTACACCATTATAATTAAAAAATTATTTTTTGTTATTGTTTTGATTACATTAAATAAAAAAAAGCTTTATTTTCTTTTTTTTCTAGATTTTTGAATTGAGCAAGCTATTTCATCACTTAGGAGCCATGTTTTTAATTTGGTATAGGTGGATGGTTTGTTATCCAATATCATTTGCTTCAGGACTTTGTATTCATTTGGATTTTTTTAAAAGTATAACATCTATTGGAAAAAAAACATTCACTTCTTTTAATAAATCTTCTACCATTTGCATTTCTATAAGATATTTATCTATACTTATGGTAGTAGTTTTTTTCATAGAAAAAAAATTGTTTGTGAAGTAAACTTTGTGAAAGTTATTGTCACCATCACACCTTGATTTTAGATGATGCCAATAATTTTATGGATCAATAAATCTCTTCATGAGCCAAAATGATGTGTTTTTTACATTTTCTTTGAGAGCATTCAAAGCTCGTTGTGGCCCTTTGATCTCCTTTGTAGATATCATGGCTGACCTCAATATTGTAGACAAGATGTATATATTGTCTTGTTTTATAATATTCATCATCATGTAGGACCAGATCTTATACACACTTATTCTTATGATGTGATAGATCTCAAACAACATTGTGTCTCTACTACATGTAATATAAGTAGCATTAGAGATTGTATTCTATAATGAGGTATGTCTTATAGAACTATCATGCTAACAAATTGTGTCTTGGTCATAGCATGCAACATTAATGAGAATTTTACCTCTATTGGCTTGCTTAGTATAATTTTTAAACTTTGACTCATCCATAGCACATCATAAGCTAAATGCTATATAATATGCTAATAGACTTACAATCCTTAAAAGAATTGTTTTGGTATCTTAAAGGTAGATACAAAGTAATTACAAAATAAAAGAATAAAAATATTCATTTGACAAACTTAATTATACATGTTTAAATATTAAGCCATACTCACTAATTTGAAAGTGTGCTCATACAAATATATTGGATGGATGAAGGCTAAATGAAATAATAGTTTCCAACATCCTACAAGTTGGATATATATCTAATAACTAATAAAATAATCCTATGAATCTTCTTAGTTAGATAGCATATATGAAGGTAAGAATGAGGCCTTTCACAAGCCATTTTTACTCTTGTTAATGTCTTTCTTGCTTCTAATCTAATTTTAAGAATCTTTAGTATTATTATCTTTGCAATAGCCATTCTAGTTCTTTCTTAAATATTCATCTTTTTAATTTTAATTTTTCATCTTTCTTTGATATAATTTTTATTCTATTTATTTATATTTTTTAAGTACATATCATTGAAAATTAAACTAAATATCACTTAAGATTTTTTTTATAATTTAATTTAATTATTACTAAATTATTATATATATAATTATATATAATTATATGTATATATATAATTTAAAATTTATTAAAATATTTTATTAAAAAATTAGTAATTACATAAATGACATTAAAATTAAATTTTTTTGACTCATATAGATATCAATGTTTTAAAAATATATTTTTTTAATATTAAAATTTTAAATTTAAATATAAATATCAATCAATTTAAGTGCATCTAAAAACATTTAAGATTTTATACATCCAATCTTCTTTTTAAATTTTATATTTTCAACTATGATATATTTTTAAAAAATTATATATATGCTTATAAATAGAAATTATCTTAATATTATTACAACTATATATAAGTACTTTTCTTAAAAATATTTTATAAGTAATATCAAAATAATAGAAGTTTGTCAATTGTGATTTTTACATGTATAAGTTTAGAATTTTTTTCTAATAATAATATTTATTTTTAAAAATTATTAAAATAGATTCTACTTTTAATGGGTATATTAGTTTTAAATGTGTAAGAAATATAGATATGACTAAAAAATTCTAAAAATATCATATTAGAATTATACAAAGTTCTTTTAATTTTTTTAAAATTAATTATTTATTTTGTTAATATAGCCGAGTAATAGGATGTAGTTTTAGTTTCTAATACATTTAATAAATATTTATTATATTATATATTTTTTCTAAAAATATTTAATAAATATAATATTTATAATTAGATATTTTATTTATAATTATTAAATTTCTTAGATTTACATATACATAAAACTATTTTTTGTAATATGATTCAATTTTTGTTGGTTGTAAAAATTATATTTTATTTAAATGTATATTGCAATTATTTGAGATCTTATTTGTATCTTTGCATCTTTATTACTATTTCCTTTTTTTAAAGATTTTTGTGGTATCAAAAAAATTGATGCATTACAAGCAATAATTAAATCATTTTTTCATTTTTTCTTGTTTTGGTATTCTAGAGCCATTTAATTCTGCTAATTTTATTTTACATGGAAAAGATTTTTTTTTTTTTTCTTAAAGAATTTTTACAAGAATCAAAATACAAACCAAGCTTCAGAGCTTCTTCCTAAATGCAGTTAAAATTGTAAATCTAAGTAATTTTCATATACTACTTTTGAAAAGTCAATACACTTCCGTCTATCATAATTATGGATGCCAAGTGTTTGGGTAGACCATAGGCGGGTACCGGGAGAACCGGTGGCGCTGCCATGCGTTTGAATGATGCAAGCGCTGGCGCGGACAACGGCTACCTTTGAATCTCGCCCCCGCCCCCGCCCTCGCGTGGCGTCGGGCCCCGCCGTCGTCGCTGCAATCGCCAAATCCTCACTTGCTATGGCATCGCAACTCCCCCCTCCCACTCCGGACCACACCCATGCGACGATATCATTCGGACTCTCATGCTTCCACCTGCGCGATTGCGCATGTAATCTGTCCAGGAGCCTAGAATTCTGATCATTGCTGTTGCGGCGATCTCGTCAGAAGATTTAGCGACGTGTGGCGTTTGCGTAGGTTTAGTAGCGGAGCTGGTGATGGGAGAAGGATCGCTGGTGCTTTTGGTGTGGTTGTGAAAGAGGAGGTGGATTCGGGTGGTACTTGCAGGCGGGTGGTTTTTGAATTCCTGCGAGTGAAGGTGAGGCAATGCTTTCTGCTAGTGAAGGGCTGTGAATCGTATGGGGCGAAACTGAAGGTCCGCAATTTTCTAGTGTGAATATTGGTTTTTTTTGAATCTGGGAATGGATGGAAGGATATTATTTTTGTTCAGTAACTATATGGATTCGTGGAGATTCTCTCATGCATTGTGAATGGGAGTGGTGGTTGACCCGAGGTCAGATCCGTCACTCTTCATCTGCGTTCTTGTTGAGAGTTCTGCTTTGAATCCGCTGTCGTGCTACTGTTGAGAAGAATTTTGGCGCAATTTCGGTTGTGTAGTTCCGCTAATTTGTGGAATCATCTTGATCAGTATGGCATGCTTCGAGTTCTAGGGAGGTTCAATTCAGTTGTGGGAGTGTACAATTCACTCAACATCTGATGTCTTCCCAACCAGCTTCCGGGGGCAAGACCCTGGTTATGAGTTCCAAGAAAAATGGTCCGAATTGGGTCATGATTGCTGGAAGTGCCATTGTGATGGCTGTGGGAATAGTAATCGGACGCAAACAAGTCCAATGCCAAGTCGAACAACCCAGAATTCGTTCTTCGAAAGATGGGACGGCGCAAATTTCAACTACAACTGGTACTTTATAATCAATGTTGCTACCTCAACAAATAATCTTCTCTATAAGTTTTTTTTAGCACGTATACATTGCCTTTCACTTCTAGTGCTGAAGTGATTCGCATGGTTGTGGCAGATTTTAGAGCATCGTCAAGTGAAAGAACGTCAGGTTCTTATGGCGTATCAGACGACTCTGACGCTCCTCTTGTGATAGAGCAATTCGACGACAATTTCTCATCTGGTCATTCTTTACTCATAAATTTCCCAAACAAAGGTTCGTCACTTGTCTGCTTTGAACCTTTCTGGTGTCGAACAATTGTCTTCTGAATTGCGGATAATTTCGTACTGCCATTATATCTCGTTCTTTCTGCACTTATATGGATCACATTGTTATGGCGTTTCTCTGTTGCTTTGACTCGAAGTGTTAAATTACCTTCTGATTATATTGGTTTCGCAGATAGCACCAGGTCAAACCTGTCCTGGAAAGCCCCTCGAGTGAGAACTAGTTTGGATTCTTCAAGGATCCCAGTTTCTTTTCAACCTCAATTCGAACTTCACAGTCCTAGACCTAAGCGCTCACATCCATCTAAGCCCTCTTCACCAGAATCCAAAATGTGTCGACAGATTGAAAATGGCACCAGTTGTGATGAAGAATTCCATTCAGACTCTTTCTCCTCCCCGGCCTTGCGAGCCGGTCTAGCAGTTAGACGTAAAATGGTGCAAAGATTAAGGAAACAACTGAGAAGTAGAGATGCGATTATATTTGACTTGCAGGTATGTTGTGCTGCTTTATTGTACCTCAAATTCTCACTTCCTCCGAAGATTTGGTTCACTTATGCCTGCTGATCATTTCTAAAACTAACCCACATGCTGTCTGGTGCTCATCTTACCTTTTCAAAATTGGAAGCTCACGCTACGTGTGTCTGAATAGTTTGTTCTGTTGGCAGGATCAAATTTCAGACCAAGATCATGTAATAGCAATGCACCGTGCTCATACTGCTGACCTGCAAGTGTGCTTGAATTCTACCAACGTGGAATTATTAAAAGTTAACCTTGAGGTTCAGAAAGTCCTCAAAGAGATTAGGATTCAAAGTGAAAATCAGGTCGTTAACATTGGTGGCCGTGACGGATGTGATGGCTCTGGCCAAAAAAAGCAACTCGCGAACTCTGTAAGTCTCGCTTTAACATACTCTGATCTGCAAGTATCACATGTGTGCTCTCAATTGTATGGGGAGTCTCTCGGACTTCCGTTGAGTAGGATAGCTGATACAGTTGCCAGAGGCGATTCTTGCACATTTTTCTCCGTACTGATGAAATGTGATAATGTTTAAAGATTAAGTTCTATTTAATCAGTATGTAATTTTTCGTTTTGCAGCATCGCTAGCCTGAGAGGGCCCTATATCTACGTATACCTTGTTTGAATGATCCTCCTCTATGTTCAACCATGTAATTCCTGTAATCGTGTGCAGGATTTGAAGGCTGTGATGTTCGAAGCTAAGATGTTAAGTAAAAAGGTCAGGCGACTGCAAACTGAAAAGCAGGAGATGGAATCTCAGGTCCAAGCTGTTTCGCGGGACTATGAGTTTCTTTTCCGAAAAGCCTCGGCACTGGAGGCTGACAGGGTGCAGTTAAAGAAATTGGCACATGAAAAGAGGCATATGCTTGAAGTTAAGGAACAAGAATGTATCAAACTCACTACCGCACTTGGCAATCTCCAGCGCAATCTTGATACTGAAGTATGTTACCGTGATCTATTTTTTTTCAAATGCAATTGTCTGATCCAAAACCAGTTTGTTATCCGCTATTGTGTGTGTTTATGTACTCCTACAATGAGTTCATTTTGATTTTTAGGTCCAATTCGATTGTGCTCGTTCCTTTTGTTGAATATGCTATCTGTTTGCGGTTCTTAGACCAGGGACAGTGACTGGACAAGAAACAGTGAAGTCAGCAGGCTCTCAGAGGCTTGTAGTGACAATTCAAGGGGTACTTGGAGTGATTGCTTTGACCAGCCCGTCAGTTGCAACACCCCTGATGATTACAACTCAAGGTCTCCAAAGACTGCTGATAGTGACAACAGACTTGCTGGGTGTGTATTTCATTAACTAATCTTGGCATTATCTCTCCATTTTGATTACAAAGTTCGGAAAGTTTTTTCTGTTTCGTAGGATGATCAAATGGAACTTGAGCTGAAGATAGAGCTACGCGTTCGATCCAAGTTTTTAAATTCACATACGGTTATTTCTTGTGGAGGGCGTCTTCAATAGAACCAATAATGTAGATAGCTTGGTAATGAGGTGGGCGATGAATCTTTGACATTTGTAAATTTACTTCAGGGATTGTATGCGATCCTACAATACGCTGTTTAGACGAAGCCCTAGTCCCCTACACAGCGAGGGCAGTGTCTCAAAACCAGGATCGAGGTCTACTGCCCTAGGATGTACGAGCAAGAGTGTATGTGATGGAAGTCCGAACTATGATGGACCAAATTGCGACAACGATGATACCCTTAGCCTGAATTTAGTGTGGATTCTGCAGCAAGAAGTCTATCAACTGTCAGATGCACTTGCGAGCAGTTCTAAATTGGTGAGGTTTAGCTCGTGGGGGTGTATACACACACATACATACGTACATACATACATATGAATGTGTTTGTCTTTACAGTTCACGCAACTCTTTTTATTCCTGGAATTGAGTTTGGGTACCTTCCTTTTTGTTGCGTTGTCCATCTCACTAGGCGCCTAGAAACTTTGGCTTCCAAGTGGTCTTTTCTTGTTAATTCTCGTTCTTTTTGTGTGCAGTTATCACAGCAGAAGCTGGAGACAAGTCGCATTTTGACAGAATATCAGGTTCGCTGTTAAAATTTGATGTTGAAGCTGAAATATCTGGAGTTTGTATACTTCTGACTGTTCAACTTAAACGCATTTGATACTGTCAGAATCGGATGGGTGTTCTTTGGTACTTAAGTTCTGCTCAAGCAGATAATTGACGTCATAAACACGTCTGTGGATATCTTTTCATTTTTGAAGCTCACGGTCAGACCCTGGTGCTTGAATTAATGTTTTCAAAACTCAGTTAGAGATATGTTGTTTTTCTGCAGAAATGTAATAGTACAAAAACTGCACAGGAAACTCGGACTGCTCTTCTGTCCGAATTAGACGAATATGGTTGGGAAGACCTTTTGCAGATCCTCTCCTCGCCCGATGGCACGCCATCACAACAGGTTAGTTACTCCAAGGTCTTGACTATTAAGGACATGGGTTTCATAGCACCTGTACCATATTATGATTCGAAGATGTAATACTGTGGAGTTTCACCTCAACTGCAATTTGTATGATTGATTTGCAAATGCAGTTACATCTACCTTTTGGAACATAACGAGCGATTCCTAGAGTGGTACGTGTGATGTAACTAGTGCTGGTTCTGTTGGTTCCAAATTATTTGGTTATAACTTGTCAACCATAATCATTTGGTTGCATGTCCACAGATACAAGAACTGAGCCACAAGCTTGAGAAAGTGGCCAAGCAACAAAAAATGGAAGATGAACTCGAAGCTCTTAGCCGGCATCACGTCAAAATTAGAGCATTGAAGTCAAGTCTAAGTAAGCTTACTGCAAAATGCCATGCCGAAATGGACGAGTCATCCAACGAATCAGTGCATCGAGTGGCTGGCATGATATTAGACCTTTCTGAAAAACTTGCCGTTCAGGTCTGTCGAAAATTCTCCATTACTCAATTTCTGTTCAAATCTTTTGATCCATTAATTATCATCAGATGTTCATCCCTTGCTCTTGAACCATAACTCAAGTATAATAATTGTTGTATTAATACTTAAACTTCTTTTACTAAAAGGTTCACCTCCCCAATCACTGATGCCCTTACAGGAGGACGAAGTGCGAAAGGCGTCTATGGATATACAGGAATTGTCTATGTCACTTCAGCTTTCGTCACCTTACGTCCCTCGCTCCAAGGTACTTATCTTTGTGCTTAGTTGGATGCCCCTCGCTCTCCCTCCTTCATCGGAACCTATTTAAATTTTTCTGATATATTCGAATTACAAAATCACTAGCTCCAGTTAGGTCATATATCATCATTGCAGGCTCTTATCAATCTACCTGGACAATTTTGTGTATACCAAATTAATCAAATAGACCCACGATATCAGCATAGAATCTGACTTTCTTGCGTGGTTGTTTTCTTTCGAATCACTATTAAATAATGATGCATATATTGATGCACTCCCTTGCAGAAGCAAGAGTTGCGGAGGATGCTTCATGGTTGTAGTGGGCAAGCTGAGAGTCCTATCTGCGACAAGAATATTCCAAGCTCACCTGGCCTTTCTTCTGGAAAATCAAAGTGAGTTTGTAATTCACTGTTCCTCTGAACGTCACCGATGTGCTTTTTATCAACTTCTGTTCTTTTGATGGAATGTCAACATTTACTAATCACTATCTTGACGTATTTTCTTTGTCCTCCTGAACGTTTGTATTCTTGAGGTGCTATTAATTCGCGTGATAAATGTTGTAGTTGAGTTGACAAATATCATCTTGTCCAGTTTTGTTGCGCAAGAACAGAAAGAAAGTCGTTCCTCCCGGGTTTTCGATCGCCAGATGTCGTTCTCATCTTTGCCTCGGAAGTCAGCCTCAATCTCGCCATCTCCTGAAAAAGCTCCTGATAAGCTGTACGAGTTCCAAGCAGGCACGTTCGATCCCCTTTCTAGCACCAAAACACGTAAGTCTGCGAATCTTGTGGCGAGTAAAAGCTCGCTTCGGAAGTCCACCATGCATCAATTCAATGGAATCGCACGGAAATGGGATGCCTGTTTTGAGAAGCCGGATGTGCAACAAAGGTCTCATGCAGTCTGTTATACCCCTGAGGAAGTTCCGAGCGGTTTTTCATTTCGTCCTGCGAATATAGAAACACTCGGAAACCCTGGTATTAGATTGCATCCCTGTCATATTTCGTTCTATGTCGTAACTTTCCAGATCCTCGTAACTATCATCCGCAATAAATCATTTTCAACAAAGCACTCTTTAGGAATACTACGAGAATATATCTTGAAGAACTGAACTATATGTCAGAAAGTGTTATTTTCATTTTTCGTTCGAGTGCACTGATGAGCGTCTTTGGTTGTGAAGATGATAATAGTGTTGCTGAAGATGCCAGCAACCCCAAATTTGAGCCTGGTGGATTTGTCTTAGACTCGGAGGATTTTCAATTCCGACCGGAAGTTCAAGTAGTTTCGGAACATGAAACCATCACTGCAATCGGCACCCAACATGCTGATACTTATAGCAGTGCGCCCGCCATATCTCATTCTCAATCGACAATGTTGGGGTCTGCGACGGCAGGCTGTGGAAGTAGAAACAGCTTAAGAAGGTTTCTGTTCAAACCTGATGATTCCTCACGTGGAGGGTACTCAACGGACACAGTGGTTGCCCGTAATGAAGACTTAGCCGATGAGCTAGAAAAGCTGCCTTTTAATTCCGAAAGGAAGTGTGATTATGTTACTGACGATGCTAATAGTGAAGTACAAATCAAGAGACACATCCAGGAGGATTCTCTGCCAGTTTTGGTCGTAAGTTCCAACAGTGCAAGAATTAAACACGATATATGCTCTGGACCTGGATCTGCCGGGGTATCACCATTTGCAGCAAGAATGGCATGTTTGGATGTGAATAGATCTAGTCATTCATTTACTTCTCCACATGGTGACGAAGGTGTTTACCAGGAGATTTCCTTTCTGTCCCAAGGTGAGGAAGCAGAAAAATTAGCCTCACACGTTGACTCCAAGTTGAATATTGGAAAAGAGAATTTGAGGTCAAATGCTGCACATCGCTTAGGGGGCCAATCTGCGGCTCGCATGATGTCAAGCAAGGGCAACTGGGAACAAAGCCAAGCCATGGCAGGAAAAGATACATTTCGGTGTGATCGCGGACGGTGGAATTCCTTTCAAGGCTCACATCGCTGACTGAGCGGGAAAAGTAGCAAGTTCTACGTGATCATTTGTGATTACTAGATGCAGCACGGAATGACTCACCTCCTCATAACTGTCAACGTGCAAAAACTCATTGCTTCATAGTTGTGAACTGCATCCAAGTGTTCACGTTTCCTACCGAGTTTTGTGTTCGCTCAAGAATCACAAAATGTGGATTGTTCCCTGGATCTGTTATTTCGAAGACCCCTGTAAATTCATCATCTGCAGCATTGAGCCACAGTTGAATTCTGCACAGGACAAGTCAAGGTTGAACCAAGGATGATCATGGAAAGCTTTTGACCCTTAGTTCGCACTTATGAAGTGATGTATAGGTAAGTGGATGAATAGTCTTATTATATTCCTGTAAATGAGTCTAAAGCGCAGAAATGGACCCAATTACAGGTGAAGTTAGAACTTCAAGCTTCATGATAGATAAGTAGTCCTCATAATATCATCTATCTGTCTCAATGTTATTAAATTTTGATAATTAAATTGGAGAAAAGTGAAAGTGCCTGTTATTTCATCATGTTAACTAGAACAAAGCTTTAGTCTACTAGTTCCGAATTACGCCAACATTAACTGATGACCCATAGTGAATATAAGTCAGTTTAGAACCACCCCCTACCACACCTAATTATGTAATAAGATTTCGATTTGCTTTCGAAACCTGGTGAGAACAGCAGGAAGTAATCTTTTGAAGAACTAACAATTCGCATACCAATACATATAGTTGTGATTACAGAGGCCTGTTCTGATCCAAGTAAAGACGTCTTATTCAGATAGTTTTGAGAGATTTTCTTAATAAATGTCTAATATTTTACTTGAATTTCTTTAATCTCACATATATGTTTGCAATACCTTGCTTTCTTCTGTTCGTAATCTAAAAGAAGAGTTAGCTTGGACTTCATGAAAGACATTTTGTGGTTTGTGAGGGTGAACAGAAATCATGGCAAATGAATCTCATTTCTTTTTAGTAACATATCATACCTCTACAGCAATTTTTAAGGAAGTTGTAAATGACTAGGTTGTGTTGTTTGACAAAAGCAAAAATATCTTCAAATATTTGTTTCCATAGGATTTTCATCTAATGCTTAGTTTAATCTCCCATCCTTTTTGTTTCTACTGCTTAAGTCTTATAAGTTTGGATTGGGTTTGTTTAAGTATTTTGCCTCTAAATGTTGTAGATTTGGTTTAACTTAATGGAATTGCATATGTATGTACTTTAATTTTTATTTCTTGTTTTGACCTTAGTTTAATTTATTCTTCATGAAAACTTTACAAAATGTTTTTAAAAATCTAGTTTTAGCTAAGAAAAAGTCCTTCAAAAACCTTTCTCTAGTCTATTTAAGACAAATTTGTCTATTTATCTAAAGATTTTTGAAATAAGAAAATTATTTTAAGTCATAAATGTTTAGATTGATATTTTCAAAGAAGATTATAAATTCCACAAGCAAGTGCTTTTAAAAGGCATTATCTTATTTTTTTTTTTCTAAAATTTTATATCAAGACAATATTATTATTTACATGCTCTTATAAGAATCCAAATTTTATTTCTTGTGTTATTCCATAAAAATCTAATATGTTACAAAAAAATATTTCAATTGTAATTGAGATTTAATAAAACTCCTTGAGATACTTTCATCATGTATTAATATTCTTCCACAATATGATAACTTGTCTTTTGGTATTTTCATCACATTCCAATCTTTCTAAAAAAATCCAAGATTTTCTACTATAGAATAAATCCACTAACTCTATTCATAATTGATTTTTTTTCTTGGTTCTTATTAGAGGTGTAAATATTAAAAAGTCGAGATTGTTTAAAAAGAACATCTTTAAGAGTAATTCAAAGAGCCCTCTTATTTAAGAGAAATAGAAATCAAGAAGATTCCAAGTATTTCTACATAATTTGACCTCAAAAAAAATAATTATATAATTGTTTTAGTTGAAGATTCTCTTTGACCTATTTTACACAAAGAGACCAACCTAATTTCAATTGGTGGTGGATTACAAAACCAAGAATTCAACTTTTACAAAATTATGATGTATAACACTTATTAATATTATCAAGAGAAGTCCGGCATCTAATTATACTATTATTCTTTTCCAACCAATCAATAATTGCCACCTATTGATAGTTCATGCAAATCCATTTTAAATACAATAAATTTTATTTATTGCTCACAACTTAACATCATTTTAATCAACACATTATCTATTTAATCAATATCAGTCCTAGTCACCCTATATATCAAATATCACACTCTTATGTTGGAAATGAGAGATGATTGACAATGAATTGACTACCTTAGTATTGATGTGTGCTAATATTCTCAAAACATTTGATTAATAATATTAGGATAGACAGTTGCAAAGAGGCAAACAAAGGTTTCTTCCCTATGCAATCTTTGATGACAAAGAAAGCAATCTGATTATGTCAAAGGATGTCCATTGAATCCAAGGCAGTTCAAATTGGACCAAGTTATGAAGCCGCTTGACAACTATTATACTTGCCATCACTCCACAAAACCTTTGAATAGCACGGAGAACTGTAACTAACTTGCATCGTCAGTGTTGTGAACTCCTTGTGGCTAACATTGTACAATTGCAATTGATCAAGTGCTAGCCTCTTATTCAACGCACTTATAAGTTAGCAGCAATCGTCGGAACACTAGTCTGCGTTCACATTCTAGGTACTACTACAAGTTTTAACACAAAGAGATGGCTGTTGCCTAATCAAAAACTCCATCATCTTGAGCGGCTCCAAAGGTAGAGAGAACAACTCAAAGGATTTTTACTCACTTAGGCTTATCATTGATTCAGAATAAAGGCACAAAAGATCCCATTCAGAAAGTTGAAGCACCGAAAACTGATTTTGAAACTGTTGAACCTATATTTTGCACCGAAAACGTTTGATCAATGCACCAAAAAGCACGATCCTTGCGGGGCAAAAGTAGTCAAAAACTATTCTAGAAGGATCTAGTGAATTAATAAAGTTTGTCACAATGAATATCAGACAACTAACAGACTGAACAAAAACATATTGTGACATATTGGGACTACAACTCCACTCAAACACGAGTCAGTGTGGAGATGGGGAACAAAGGGCATCAAACATTGCTAGTTGTGTAAATCAGATGAAGATCATGCATTGCTGAAGTCATCGTTTATCGATCATGCAATAATTTGAGTCCTATTGACTGCCTCCAGGAATCGTGCTGAATAGAAGGCAAGTGGCATCAGAAGCAACCATTTCATCTGGTGTGCTCAGCGTCACAGACATCCTGTAAAATCATCATTTTGTTTGATTCTGTTTTCATGCTGCTTCTCTACTACTTTGTTCGTCTGCAAACCATTAAATGAACGATGCTTGAAGCGGCAGCTTGCACCCACAAAGCGCGATTGAGTTCTGTCCATATCGACTCTTGTGTATGTTGTACGGTATGTCGGTAAGATCGTTTAGATGAAATGTGTTAGGATGATAAAACGTTGAATAATATCATTCATATCCTCTGATTAGTTTAGTGGTTTTTATTTGATGATAACTATATGCATTTTGGTCCGATTTTTTTTTTTTTTTTTTTTTTTTTTAAATATAAAGATTTTTTTACTTACAATATTTTATTACACACACATACATATATATATATATATATATATACATATCAAGAGAGACTTGTTGAAGCCACATCCTAATTTTGTTAAAGCTACACCTCTCTTCCAACTAAATGATTGAAAATATATTTGTACCATGTTCCCCACCCCGTTCCCATCCCACATCTCCCATTTTCCATTCTCATACCCCATTCCTAGCTAATGTCCCTATCCATGATCCCACCACCTTGTCTTGATTCCACCCTCGTCCCCACCCTCTCCAACCCCACTCCCTGTCTTGACCTCACCCATCTCCAATTTATTATAAGTATGTATAATTACAAAAGAATATTTAATTATGCATGTAGAATTGATCACTAAAGTAAAACATAAAACATATGATTTTTTTATATATATATAATATTGATAACATATCATTTATCTTTTAGCAAAAGATAATAATTTTTTTAAAGGAATAATAAATTTTATTACTATACTTTGTAAATTTAAGATGTTAATTTCACTCTCACCTATTTGATGTAGAAGTCTAATTATTTGTATTACAAAGAACATTTCATCACAATAACAACATTTTTTAAAATATATATAATAAAGTAAAATCAAGTATACTGATTAGATGAATTATAACAATAATATTAAGCTTTGAAATTAGAATTGCTTGTGTACACATTTGGACAAAAATAATTACTTAGGTAGTTATGATTCTACTAAAAATAAACAGGTTGTAGCTGCAATCGTTACTATTATTACAAACTCTTTTATGCACATAATTTTAATAAATAGATTTAATCCATATACAAAACTAGAACTTCTTTTTGTTTATCCATTTTTTTAAAGAAAGAGACAAAAAAAAGAAAACAAAAGTATTTTTATTTTATTTTATTTTATTTTTTTGTTGTATTAGGCATTATTCTACACGCATAGGCGTTTAGATTAGTCCTGGATTTAGCAACTAACTATGTGACGGAAATTGACCAAGCAATCTTCATCAAATGTAGATTTTAGGATCATGCCCAAGATGTTAGTTTCTGCAGAAGACAAAGGCACGGTTGAAGATGGGACTCAGCGACCGAAAACCGCGTCCGAGACTCGGGGGGGGGGGGGGGGGGGGGTTTGCTAAGCCGCAGGAGGAATGGGGTCATTGCTCGAGCTTTCTGCTCCCTCGGTCTTCGTCGTCTGCTGCTTCCTCCGTCTTCGGTTCAGTGATACAGAGCTCCATCTCCCTCTTCACCGCCTCACTCTTCAAGGGTGCAGGGTTTCGCCGTGTACTCCTTCAGGAAAATCATCTGACGAGCAAGGCTTTCAACTGAGGTGCGTCATCCTTCATTTTTCCGGCTTACAAGCGCGCCCTCAAAATATTGTTTGTGCGCGTGCAGGTGTGGTGTTTTTATGTTGTGGTGGAGTTATTTCGAAACTGTCGGGCAAAGATCAGCGCCGGAAGAAGGAATAAAAAGAACTTGGAAGGCTTTGTACGCTATGCTTGTCAGAGTTGTGAGCGTTATGGTGCGCTGTCGGTTTGCTTGTTAGGTTCTTCTCTGAGAGGTTTTCCTTTTTGGTGACGGAGGTCGTGGTTCCAGTTAGCTTGCGGAGGAAGGATCGTTGTTTGATTTGAAGGATTTGGAGATTGAAGCAGAAGTTCGGATTCCTGTTTTTGCACTTATTTTTGGATTTTGTGTATGGCGGTGGACAACCTGTCCTGCGTGATCTGCCGCTGTTGCAGCAGCTCTTGCAGCGGCAACTCTATATTCTGCTCTCCTCGCCACGCCAGCTAAACATTAACCGTTCGAGTGCACCGGAGGCTGTGTTTGACTCTTCCTTGGGTGATGAAGGCATTGTTCCAGCCATCTGATATATGCATACAATCTGGGCTTATTCTGCATGGTAGCTTGAGTGTCGTGGTGGTGGAGTTAAGGTGTGATGGCCAGATAATAGTCTTCGTTTTCATGTTCCCCCTGGTGGTATCAGCTAAGTAAGTTGTGCTGGGGTACGTAAGATCGACATTCTGCTTTCTGCGTTGCTGTGAATATGTTTCTGCTTCCAAGTCTGGTTTCAGTTTCTTTCCCTCCCACGTGGTTGGAATCGCCATCGGTGGTAGTTGGTCCCACTGACTGTTTCGATACTCTGGTCACTGTGTGCAGGGTCTGAATCCTTCAAACCCACATCAGGAGCGCGTAACCCACTTGGCGATGCTTTACGTTTCCGACAGCGCCAAGATTTGCTGTTCTGAGTGTTTACACGGCATTGGTCCTATGACACTGCACACATCTGTGGCTGATTAGTAAGTGTACGTACGCAGCTGTGCCCACTCTCAAACTCTTTAAATGTGCTCTCTCTCTTCACTGTCATGACCGCGCTTCGGGGCTGCTGCATATCAGAGAGATTGAAGGCCGTGGCCAACCTCTTTCCAACAAGTTCTACACTTTTTCCCCGTGAAAAGCTTCAGCCTGCGCGGTAAGCTGGGACAGTGCGCTGTCCCTCGTGATCACACTTTTCTGTCAAGCTTCAATCTATCGACTTTTACCTGTGGATACTTCGCTCCTACCCACATGCACCTGTGCAGTGAGGTCCAGGTCGCGGAAGTACAACGCTAAGCCGTCGAGTCTGTCGGTTCACATTACTATTTGAGGTCAGCCAACTCCCTCCCTCGTCTCGTCTTCCGTAGTCCCTGAGTTTCTCTATTGGAACAAGCCAAACCCCATTGGATGTTGTCGAACCGTTTATGGCTGTGCCTGCCTCTCTTCTGCCCTGTCCATTCTTGTATGTGACACTTATGTCTGCACTGTCAACCTCTGAATTCTTCTCCGAGTTGATCAGTTTATGCCGACGCTCAACTTTAATGATTTCCATAATCTGTTGTTTCAAGCAGTCAACGACAGGGGTCAAGCGTGGCATGTGAGGTTATAGGATTGCCAGCTTTTGTGTGCCAGGAGTTAGTGGGGTTGTACTTCATGTCGAAGTCTTAGTTCTATGAACTTGTAACTTCTGGCTAGGTTCTAAAAATTGAATACAATAATTAAGTGAATGTGTTATTTTGCTTTTGCATGAGTAATGTTTTTTTTGTGTAGAGTGTAAATTTGTTGTATATAATTATGAAAAGTTGATAAGAAATGAGATTTTGATTGGTGGTGGATGGGGATGTTTAGTGAATTGGTGATATTAGGATAAGGTATTACTCATTAGTGAATGGAGAAGAATAGAAGAGTAGATTGAAAAGAGCATTTGTAGAATATAATACCAATTGTCATTGTAAGATGACTGAAGGAAGAGTTTAATGACTCAAGGAAGACTTTATAAGTTGGAATTTGTGGAGTTGGTGAAGCTCTAAGTGTGTGCATGAGAGAAGGTCATGCTTTAGAGAGTATGGTAATGATGAATAGTATAAAATTATTGTATAAATTTTAGTGCAAATTGTAGGATAGAATATCCTTCTCACATATACATGAAGTATTTAGAATTATGAGTTTTAATATATTAGAAAAGTGGATTTTGAACATCATTGAATAGGAATGGTACTTTGACATATTTGAGGATGAAGGTTTGGATCTAATCAAAATATGCATTGATGTAAGATGGATAGAGCTTGATTCTTTTGTTTGTCATGTTTAGGTGTCTTTGATTGTGTAATTAAAGGATTAGACTTGAATATTTACAAGTGATCTACTATGCCCAATTGTGTATTTGGTTGTATGCAAGGACTTGCATCTTCATCAAGAAAAGAAGCCATGAACATTCAAAGTATTTATTTGCAATGTGAAATCTTGACGAAAAGAATGGAGGATTTATTGAAGATAAAATACATGTTGAATAGAAATCAATGTACTAATTTGTACATGCAACTTGTCCAAGTTATGAAAGTATTTGAAAAGGCATTTGAAAAGGCATTTGAAAAGGTATCAACAATACCTTATGATGACAACATTGGAAAGATGTGGCTTATATTTGTTGAGTTGCATGTTGTGGTGGGCAAAAGCTTCTTATTGTTAGAAAATTGTGGAGAGAAAATGGTGTGAAGCAACTATCTTTCAAATGAAGAACAAAGAAAGTTTTAGAGAAATCCTTTTAGATTTGGTCCTTTGTTGTAATGTGGCAAGTAAAGTCTTAACAATGCACTATTCAAAAGAATTTGAAGACATTGCACGTATTATGTGTAATGTTATTACATTTGATAAAGGTGAAGAAGATGATGCGAGTCTCTACAAGAGGTTGGTTGATGGAAGCCAAGATGATTGTTTTGAAGAATGTGGATTAACTAAATATTTGTTGCAAAGATGGAAAGACTTGGGTCGCATTGAAGGTGGAGATTTGAATGCTTTGGAGCTTTCAAATAATATTGAAAGCTTAAAAATTGGTGATTGCATAGGTGAAGGTGCAAATGGAGTTGTTTATAGATCGAGGTGGTTTGGAATATTGAGTACCACAAAGAAAATAGTTGGTATCTTCAAAGAAGATGTTCCTATTGAAGTGGGAATTTTAGCAGCTCTAAGCCATCCCAACCTTGTGAAGTATTTTTTTGCTGCAAAAGTGGATACTAACAAATTTGGTGAGAGGTGCTCTATGGAGGGGAGAAATGAAACTTTGTATTTAGTGACAGAATTGATGGACATGAGTTTGGTTGATATGTTGAAAAAAAAAAAATCAATGGCATTTGGTTTTCTCATTGATATTATGTATCAAGTTGCAAAAAGAATGTGTTATTTGCATGACATGCAAATTGCACATCGGGATCTCAAGCCAGATAACATACTTGTGAATTTTAAAATAGAGGAAGTCAAGAACAATGGTGAAGAATGGACATTTGTCAAAATAAGTGATTTTGGGACCTCTAAAAGCAATGTTGGAAGGACTCCAAAAAGTAAAAGTTGTGACTTTATTTATGGCACACCAAGGTATATGGCTCCGGAAGTATTTGAGAATGAAGATAAGGCAATGAAAACATGTGCTTTTGAAGCAAATGTATTTTCATTTGCAATGACATGTTCATAGATTCTTTCAAGAAAAAAACCATTTTTTAATATTCATAAACAAAAAAAAATATTGAAAAAGATAAAAGAAGGAGAAAGACCGGAATTACCTTCAAATTGTGATGAGTTGATTGAGTTGATTGAAGAATGTTGGAGTTTGAATCCTTCACAACGTCCAAAGTTTGGAGATATTTGTGAAAGACTTGCAAGTTTGAAGACAAAGTTTTTGATTGGATTTTATAAAGATAATAGCCCTTTATTTAGTCGTTCAAAGAAGAAATATCACCAAATTATGAGAAAGAAAGAAACATGTGGTGATGATGAAATGATATAGTTTGTAGTTATTTATGTTTTGTTTCTTTGATTTGTTGGCATAGACATACAATAGATTTAAGTAGTTAAATGGTGTACATATGAGAAGATGAATGTTTATAACAATATGCAATGTGTATGTTTTGGCATAACAATTGTGGTTGTTTTTGTAGGTTTGTTTGCAAGAAGAACAACTACTAAGTAGACTAGAATACTCAAACAAGTTGTTAGAGCTATGCAAAAATGGTGTAAAAGCAATATGTCTTGTTGGCATGGGTGGAATAGGCAAGACAACAATGGCAAAGTGTATGTATAATGAGGTGAAGGATATGTATGATGCCTCATGCTTTGTTGAAAACATGCAACATAGTGGTAATAGCTACACCATTTGTTGCTACATTTTAAAAGAACTCAAGGTTAATCAAATACCAAAGACTTTAGAAGATGCTCAAGTATTATTGATATCACACTTAACGTCAAAGAATACCATCTTGGTGTTTGATGATGTGAAGGAACAAAGGGTAATTAGAGACATTGTTCCTATAGATGAGTTTTGTGCAAGGAATGGAAACACTTTGATTGTAACTACACGAAGTTGGAATAGCATGAAGGATTGTTCCATAAAGACTCATAGAATGGATATTGAAGAACTTGAAGAAGGTTCAAGTTTAGAGTTGTTTATTAGTTATTCTCATAGAAAGCAAGTTGAATTGCCTAGAGAATTTGATGATGTGGGTAAAAAGATTGTGAAAGCTTGCAATGGCTTACCTTTGAGTTTGAAAGTTATGGGAGCATTTTTGAGAGGACAAAAGAGAGTACTATGTTGGGAGCAAGCTTTTCAAAGGTTAAAAAGAGCAAGAAATGTGAAAAGAGATGAAGAAAATAGTGACTATAAGATTTGGACAATATTGAGAGTAAGCTTTGACCAATTAAAAGTTGAAGAAAAAGACATGTTTTTGGACATTTGTTGTTTTTTTACTAGTGATGTATATCCACATGGGATGTCAAAAGAAAGAGCATTGTAAATATGGTCAAATAATGAGAGATTGTATTTGAAGCAAGATGTAGAGGAAACATTGGACACATTGATTAGTCATTCATTGGTAAAAATAGATGAATATGGAATCTTGAAAATGCATGACCACTTACGAGACATAGGTTGAATGATTGTTGAAACAAATAATGCATATAAAGACACAAGAATATGGAAAATGAGCATAGTGCAAACAAACGGATTCTCAACAAAGGTACTTGACTTAACACATGTGTCAATGAGATGCATACAACTAGGAATGATGATAAATAGTTTGCATGTAGTATTTGTAGATATGATGTATCATTATTTTGTGAGGTAATATAATAGAATTTAGATAATTATAAGATATTTTGTATTGATATTGAGTTTACATTGTGAAATCTATGATATTGTTTAATTTATGTCATAAAATCTTTGACGAAGAAGCATTGGAAAAGTTGAAGAATCTAATTGTTTTACAATTGAAGAATTGTGAGTTCATAAAAAAATTTCCAAGTTTAATATTCTTAACAAATACATTATTAGAACTTGATTTAGAAGGTTGTTCGAATTTAGGAACATTACAAGAAAGTATGCATAATTCAACATCATTAAGGGTCTTGAATTTGAAAAGATGTATAAGATTAAAGGCACCAGTAAATTCAATAGGAAACTTGATTTATTTGCAATGGTTTAGTATTGAAGGGTATAATAGATTGCCATCATTGCCAAAAGAATTGGACAACCTTAAAGCTTTCACAACATTAACTATAAATAAATGTCAAAATTTTATATCATTGCCAATTGAGTTAGGTTACCTTACATCTTTGACAACATTTGATGCAAGTAGATGTATGGACTTGAACTCATTACCAAATGAATTGGGCAACCTTTCATTGTTGACAATATTTGATATCAAATGGTGCTTGATCTTAAAATCATTGCCTATGGAGTTGGACAACCTTACAACTTTGACAACATTTGATATAAGATGGTACAAGAACTTAAAATCATTACCAAACACATTGAAAAACCTTACATCTTTGACAACATTGAAGATGAGTGGATGTTTGAGCTTGACATTATTGCCAAATGCGTTAGGCAACCTTACATCCTTGATACGATTTGATATCCAATAGTGAAAGAATTTGATATCATTGTCAAAGGAGTTGGGCAACCTTACATGTTTGACAACTTTTAAGATGAGTGGGTGTGAGAACTTGACATCATTGCCAAAGGAGTTGGGCAACCTTACATCTTTGACAACATTTAAGATAAGTGGGTATAAGAACTTGACATCATTGCCACAAGAATTAGGCAACCTTACAATTTTTACAACATTTAAGATGAGTGGGTGTGAGAACTTGACATTATTACCAAAGGAGTTGGACAACCTTACATCTTTGAGAACTTAAGCTCTAAGTTAGAAGTATATCTTAACATCATTGTTATAGAAATTGGACAATCTTACATCTTTGAGAATATTTGATATAAGTTTGTGTTTTAGTTTGATATCATTATTAGAGGAGTTGAGCAACCTTATCTCTTAGAGAAAGTTTCATACAAGGTGGTGCAAGAAGTCATTTTTAGTAAAGAAATTGAGCAACCTTAGATCTTTGATAATATTTGATTTTAGTTGGTACAATAAGCTAATATCATTATCATAGGAGTTGAGCAAGCTTACATTATTGGTATAATTTGATGTAATTAAATGCCTACATTTAACATTGTTGCAAAAGAATTTGGACAATCTATTAGCTTTTATAAAGTTTCATATAAGTCCATGCCCAAAATTAATGATTGCTTATATGTGAGATTAGTGTCTATGAAGTTTGGCTATTTTATATCTTAACAAAGACTAATACAAATGGATATTTAAAGTCAACATTTTTTTGAAAGGAATTGAACAATCTTACGTCTATAATACATTACAATACATATAGATATTAAAAATTTAAGATTATTAATAAATGATTTATACAACCTTCTATCTTTTGCATAGTTTAATTTAAGTAAATACTTAAAATTGATATTATAATAATAGAAGTTTGTTTATTCTACTTGATTTTTAAAACTATTGATAGAAGAGTTAGAAAATTTTATATCTTTAGTATACTTTTGTAGAAGTAAATGTTCAACATTGGCATTTCTACCAAAAAAGATAATCAACTTTATATCCATGACATATTTCTTTGTGTATAGATGTTCAAAGTTGACATAATTGTTAAATAATTTAGATAATTTTACATCTTTGAGATATCTTTTTTCAAATATGCAACCACCATTAGTATTATTATTGACAAAGTTAAACAACCTTGTATCTTTAATAAATTTTTATATGTAATTTTTTTAATAATTTATATTTTTATTAATAATAAAAATAAAAGGATTTATAGTATATTTTATTATTCATAAGTATTTTTATATTAAAAATAAATTCATAAAAATTTAGTAACTTAATAACTTTACAAAATTTGAATCAATTGCATAAATCTTCAATGAATTGCTAGACATATACATTATGGAATACAATAATATCATATATTTTATGTACTTGTATCTTGTGCTTATATGTTTTGCTTATATATTCAAAATTATATAATATTATGATATTTATATTTCAATTTTAACATAAAACTTTGTGTATAATTGAATTATATAAATAATTACATATAATATTTCATATTTTTTTAGATTTGAAAAATAATAATTTAATTTTTTTTAATTTTAATTTTAACTCTTAAAAATTTATCTTTATAAAATGTTTTTGAATTTTTTCTTAGAATCTTGGATTTGTAATAGAAAGTTTTTAGTTTGTCTCACATGCTTTAAAAAGATACAAATGGGAGGAGGAAAATAAAAGTAGAAGATCAAAAGACATGAATTTTATTATTGTAGAAAAAGTAATAGCCTAATGTTTTAAACATAGATAATCAAATAAAAGTCAAGAATTCTTACAATTCAATTTTGTTTCATACTTATGGTAATGTTTTTAGTAGCATTATTAGTATGTTGTTTAAAATGAAGTTAGCAAGAGTTTGGTTCATAGGTGCTTATGCAATAGATTCTACTTAGAAATAAGCTAAATTCTTGTTAAAAATTATATTCTTTCTATACTTAGCTAGAAATTTCTAGCTTGCTTGATTGTCTTCAACTTTATTTTGTAGACTGAACATAATTCAATTCAAGTTATGTGGTATACATGCAGAATTTATCTTTTAAGTTTAAGACATGTCTTTTAAGTTGGACATGTATTAGAGGTCTTATAGAATATTGCCACATAACTTTTAATTAAATTTTATATATAGAAGCAAAAATGATGCCTTTTTATTTGACATGAATGGATGTTTTACAAAGACATTAGATAGATAAGATATTGCCAAAGGCTTTAGAAATGACAATCTTTACTTCATCAATTATAAGGTCAATAAAATTGAAGTAGCAATATTTTTTGAATTTCCACAAGATCAAGTCAAGTTTGGCATATGGCATTAGCAACTTTGTGATTTAAATGCCAAAACCATGAGGGAGCTCCAATCTATGGTAAGTGGCTTGGATCTTATTTAACTCAATAATAATACTATGATATTTGCTTGTAAAATTTGTATATAAGATAAAAAATAAAGAACTTTATTTTCAAGTAGAATTGTAACATATGCAACCAAGTTGGAGATTATACATTTTAATATTTATGGACCAATGAAGAAGCCATCAATAGGAAGAACAAGACACTTTGTCACCTTTATTGTTGATTTCTCAAAGAAGGTGTATATTTATATTTTTAAAACCAAGAGTGAATATTTTTCAAGCTTTAAGGAATCTAAGATACTTATGAAGAAGCAATGTGAATGTAAGATCAAAGTGTTGTACATGGACAAGAAAAGTGAATATATGTCAAAGCATTTTAATGACTTTTTGAAGATTCAAGATATTGCAATACAAACCTCAATTTCTTATATGCCACAATAAAATGGAGTTGTTAAAAAAAAAAATACATTATTATAGAGATGTAAAAAAATTTATTTTATGTTCAAAATCTTAGGCATGAATTTTGAGTGGAAGCAATGGTAAATATATTGTATCTTAAATTTAAGGAATTTAAAGAATTTAAGGTACATCAATGATTCTACAAGAAAATTAGAATGAAAAAAAACCTTGTGTTTTACATATAGAAATTTTAAGATGCATTGCTTATACAAAGGTATTTGATTATATGAAGTCCAAACTTGATGCAAAAGATACAAAATAAGTATTTATTGGATATTGTGAATGTATTAAAGCTAATAGATTAATAAATTTAAAAACCAAAAAAATCATCAAAAATTGTAATGTTGAATTTTTGGAGTATAAAAATGCTTGTGAGTATTTGGAGATGTGTTTAAGTGGAAGTAATGGTGCATTTGTAGATACATCTTTAATTTCAAGAAAAAAAGATAAAAATAATGACAATAAGAATAGTAGAAATGTAAGTCAAGTTGAAGAATCAAAGAAGGTAGACTTAAGTATATCTATAATTTTTAAAATCAGAAATAAATAAAAAAAAAAAAAAAAAATGAGATATTGAAAGTGATTATGATGGGCAATACCAAGCATTGAATGATAAGGGATAAGTTATAAAAGAAACAAAGCTTGCAAGAAACTATAGAGTCCATGAAGGTAAATCTTCATCAAATGAAAAGAGATATTATTTGAAAAAAAAAAAAAAAAAATACTTAATAAATATTGGAAGAACTACATTTTTTTTAAACAAGTTAAGAATATATAAATATTATATTTTTTATTGATCCATTAAATTTACGTGATGCAATGAAGTCTGTAGATACTATAAAGTGAAAGAAAGTCACAAAAGAAGAGTACAAATTATTTATGGAGAATAAAACATGGAAATTGACTCAATTTCTTTTAAACCAATATTTAATTTATTTTAAGTAGGTGTTTAGAATCAAAAAAGATGCAATAGATAATTTCTTAAGATACAAGATTAGATTAGTTATCAAAGACTACTTATAAGTTATCGGTATTGATTTCAATGAGACATTTACTCTTATAGTTAAATTCACCACCATTAAAACCATTGTAGCAATTAAGGCAAGAATTGATTTGAAAATACATCAAATGAATGTAGAAATGGCTTTCTTAAATAAAAAGTTAAAAAAAGATTTTTACATGGATTAATTTTAAAGTTTTTTTGAAGAAGGAAAATATCACCTTCTTTATAAGTTGAAAAAAATCCTTATATAGACTCAAGTAATGAATTAGGACATGATACCAATATATTGATATATTTTTTTGAATGAAAAATTCGTAAGAAGTAAGGCTAATGATTCTATATATGTAATGCAATCAAATGAATTTTTCTTGATTATCATTATCTATATTGATAATTTAATTACCTTAATTAATATTTTAAAGATGATAGATTTGTTGAAGACAAAGCTAAAAAAGAGCTATAGAATGAATAATTTAAAAGATATTTTTTATTATTTTTGAATAGAATTTGTAAGAGATTATATTAAAAAGACCATTATAATGAGTTAAAGAAAGTATATTGAAGAGTTGTTGAAATAGTTCAGCATAGAAAAGTGTAAGCTTATTAAAACATCTTTAGAAGATAATTTGAAATTGATGACGCTTACAAATGAGGAGTTTGTTAAAGTTAAAAGTCAAATACAAGCTGTTTTATATAAGGAAATAGTAGGCTCATTTATGTATATAATGGTTAATATAACAATAGATCTTATATGAGTGGTAAATATTGTGAACTAATACATGTCAAAGGTTGGATCAATCTATTGGGTAACCATCAAAAGAATTATGACGTATTTAAAAGGTACTTTATACTTCAAGTTGTACCTTAGAGGTATTAACATTATTTTGCATGATTATTGTAATACAGATTGAGTTAGAGATGCAAATAATGGAATGTCAACAATAGAATATATATTCTTTGTTGGAATGAAAGTCATTTTATGAAATTGCAAGAAACAACCAATAATTACAAGATTTATAATAGAGATAGAGTATATAGTAGCAAACCATAGTATAATAGAAGCAATATTGCTAAGACAAATTTTGGAGGATATTAGATTAATACAATTAAAAATAATTCCAATGAAGTATGACTATTGATAATATCTTATTTTTACAAAGAATTCAAAGCATCATTTAAGTACCAAATACATTAATTATTATGAATATTTAACAAAGAAAATTTTAAAATATTTTTAGAATATTCTATTAAATTTTAAAAGATTTCAAAAGATTTAAAAAAAAATTAAAATATTTTAAAAATATTCTTAGAAGATTTTAAAAGGTTCTTAAAATATTCCAATAAACTTTAAAAAATTCTAGGAAGATTAAAAAAGTTGTTCAAGAAGCTTTCTAAGATTGCTTTATCTTCAAGTAATATGGAAACTTCTTGAGAAGCTTCCTAATATCTAATATATATATATATATATATATATATATGAGTCACAACTAAGAAAATTCTTAATCTCAATAATTTATCTTTTGGATTTTTAGTTCATCTTTTTTAATATTGATTTTCTACTCATCTAGTTAAATCAGTTTTTTTTTTAGTTTTTTTGTTAAAACTTTTTTATTCCACTTCTTATTTGGTCTCTTACATAGTATATCTATGATAGTTTGTAGAAACTGCCTTCTTATTAATACTAGAGCTTGATCCTTCTTGATAGAAAGTGGATTATTTTTCTTCTTGAAGGCATATAAGTACTTTAGATATTATAGAATATATATTTTTTTAAATTGATATTATTTAT